AGGGATCATTTGTTTTGGGCTGCTATGTAATTTTATTTCTGTTTATTTCTACTTATCCAGTTCTTAATTGATGTAATACTTTGTTAGAAGAGGTAACAGCTCGTGCCTCTTCATGGGTTTCCTGTATTGCCTCATATTCTGATTTAATAAATTATTTTCATTCATCAAAAAAAAAAAATCAGCCAATTGGTATTCAATCTCCGCATTGGTCAAGCAAACTTCTTGTGATTCATTTTTTTCCTCAAATAAAGAGCCTATCTACTAGATTATGTTTTAACACTGCAACATTGTCTGGCTTCCTCAAGCGATATGATTATCTATAGGACTGTGTTTCATAAACCTTAGTTAATTCTTCCAACCTGTGCAGGTTGAAAAATGTACAGAGTGATTAGCATAATGTATTGCATTTTATAAGTTCTATTAATTTTTTTTGGATTTTTTATGTAATTTCTATTTATTATTTTGTGTTTTTTTTTGGAGAGAAAAAGAAAAGAAGTCACCATTAATATTTGAACTCAGGTTTCTAGTTTAAGAGACCAATACTTTAGACAGTAGACCATGGGACCTCAAAATTAAATTATTCAAGTAGGACCTACCAGGATTTGATCTCAGGCCACTCTGTAATATTAGCAAGTCCTATTAACTGGAGATGTAATAATCTAATGTTTTGGACTTTTGCATTATTGGAATGCTTTCTGTTCCTTCTGAAGTTTCATCGACAAATATCAAATATCAGTAGTAAAGTTTTCAAGCTACTTTCCTGTTGGTTAAATCTCATTATCTTTGCTTACCCAAAAAAATCTCATTATCTTTGATCATCTCTTACTCTCTCCCTCTTTCTTTTCTGTTTCACAGCCTGTCCTTAACAATAATGTTGATCATACAACAAATACAATACAAGTCCTTATTGAGTAAGTTTTTATTGGTCATATACTTGTTTCTTATTATGCTTAGAACTTATGGCATAATCAAATGAGTAACTTCACATTAAACATAACTGAAATATGCTTGAGAGATAATTTAGATTTTAGATCAGTCTAAGAAGCTTGACAATTCAGTTCTGAAATAATGTAATAATGGGCATATGTGACTCTCCCGAGGGTCATGAATGGTCATGCTACCTACATCCCATTAGATAATAAGCAACCAACTTATTGATAATGGATTGTGCAAAGCCTCTACTTTGGTCATCCTCCATCCAAGAGATAGAACAGTTATATGGGGTGTAAGAGACAATGCAAATCCAATCGTGTAACTTCTTTCACTTGTTACCTTCTCTATAGATGTAAACCAGTCCTCAAAAAATAGGTGTAAACTTGAAAAATTAGAGAGAAAAAGGAGGAAGAAAAGTAAGAGCAGCAGTACAAGA